AATTATGGGCCGAAATTTGAAAAAATTTGGGCTAGGTACCAAAATTTGGAAATTTTACAATTAAAGGCCAAAATTTGAAAAAATTTGGATCCAAATTTTTGACAGTCCCTGACTATCTGCTATTATATTTGTATGATTTTGCGCATTGCAATATTAATTTGGAAAAGGAATACGTCAGATTCCTAAAAAAGGAACAGCCAATCAGTGAATTCATGAATTCCGAACACGTGCGAAAGATGAAAAATACTACTTAAATCGACCTTGATACATTGATTAAAAATAACTGTAATGAATAATAAGTGACAATCACCAATAGTCTCTAACTATAACGATTGGTTTGTATTGCATGCGATCCTATTGTACCGGTAATAGAATAAATATATTATCGGTGACTAGCTCGTCATGACCGTGAGTCTGCGAAAAAAGAAGAAAAAAGATTTTAATTTTTACGTTACATCAAAGTTATACGCGTCAAACACTTCGTTTTTTTTTTTTACTATAATTTATAATTCTTTATCAAGCAAAAGTAAAAGGAACCCACTTATTTCGACATTATTTTTGATTTTTTTTTTTATATTCCTATTTTGAAACAAAATAGTAAAGGAACTCACTATCTTGTTTCTTTCTATATTTTATTGCCTATGTATTTACTGTAATTTGCCTTAGTACCCTTCCTGGGACCGTCAATTAACTATATAATTTGACTAAATTGACACACAATTGACTATGGGCGAGTACTTTACTATTTACCGCAAATTACAGTACTCTTCTATTCTCTTTTCTAAGGTATACGTCATTAATTCACGCGCTTAAAAATAAAAAAAGCGAAAGATAGTTTATTTCATTCTTCAATTAGAACTTAATTTTAACATAAATACAGTACGTAGGATTTTTTTTCATCGTAACTAGCTATTAGGTTTATATAATATTTGGAAAGAGTAACTAACTAATAGAAGAAGTAATTGATGAATGCAATCAATTATATCATAGTAGAAATGAGTAAAAAAAAAAATTATCTAGTATATCTGTATACTATATATATGGGGTTGAGTCAATAGAAACCAAGCAAATATTTTTTAATAAGTTTTTTTAAAATTTTAAACAAGAATAACTGAACAAAAGCTTGATCAAATTCAATAAAAATTTTTTTAAATTAATTCTACAAGTTTGTAAAAATTATTTAAAAAAATTTTTATTAAATTTGGTCAAGTTTTTGTTAAGTTATTCTTGTTTAAAGTTAGAAAAAAATTTTATTATAAAAAATTTGCTTGATTTCTATTGACTCACCCCCATATACCAGATTACCTTAGCATGTTGATTTAAGTTCGATGTTTGATTACATACATATGTATTTATTGTTCGAAAAATTTTTTTTATAATTAATATGAGAAATTCTAGAAAATGTTTTATACTTCTAAAGCCCCTAACTCTAACTCTAGTTACTAAATAAAAAATTTATACTAAAAATTTTATATATTTTTAATACTTTAACATAATGCTTACAAATCTTTTTAAATTTCTAATATGAAAGTTTGTGTTTATTATGTAGAGAAATTAGTAAAAACTATAAATTATTTTATTACAAACTTCAAAAAAAGTAAAGTTTAAATCATTAAAATTGAATAAGCTTTTATAAAGCTATCTTTATTTAAAATTTTTAGAAGTAAAAAAAAGTTTACTTTATTTCTATTTATATTATAAACGATAAACGATAATAAATTTTGCCAAGTTGAAATAAAAAATTATGATGCGTAATCTATATTAGTAGTGAGGATTAAAAACAATTTCTTATGACGAAATCGCGATTCATTCGTGTATATCCTTACATCACGACGGTTAATCTAAATTAAAATCATACATCATCATATTACCGTTAATTAATAATTATATATTAACGTTAAAAAGTGTTTTTATAAATCATCGCAAAAGTTTATATAAACTTATTACAAAGTTTAAAAATATAGTCGTGAATATTTCACACTGACGGCCATTAATACTTCTCACTTGAACGTATTTGAGTAAATAAGCATGGCAATTTTTTTTTTTTTTGTTAAAAAAAAAAGAAGATAATTAAGTGGCTGTTTATTTTTTTTCGAATTTGTTGCATTCCTAATTTTACAGGTAGAATATTTGTTATGAATGAACCGTCGACGACCAACGAATATGAAACGTTTGCATATGGAGCACCGGGCTCTTCTGAGAACGTTGATAATTCTGGCACTAACGACGAGGAGATAGATTCTGATATATCTGAAAGTGTGAGTGCTGAAAGTAATGAGGTGTGGGATGGACGTAAAAGTGAGGTGAGGCAAAAAAAGATAGACACAAAAGGTAAAGCCGTAGATCAATGTGGATCTGAAGCATACGACTTAATGATGGATGACGAGGAAAGTTCGGATAACAATGAAGATGTTATCGAACTGGAGCCAGATGAATATTATGTTGAAAAGGTTTTAATGCATCGAAGAGGATATAATGTAAGTGTCGTATAATATTATAAACTTTATAACCCCTATTTTTTGCCTACAATGACTAAGATGTATTGATTATATGTATTCCTCTTTATCTATTTATAATCTATTATTAGGGTAAATTAGAATATCTGCTAAAATGGAAGGATTACGCAGAAGAAACCTGGGAGGAGGAATCTAATATGTTAGTTAAATATTTATTTTACTTATTAAATTAAAAATATGCCTTTTTTTTAAAGTAACCATTTTAAATGATATAGTTTCGCTAAGAATCTTATCAAAGACTATTGGCGTGAACGAAATTATTCAGGTAGTCCACGTTCGCTATGTTCTCTGGACTCTGAAGAATATAGTAGCGATGAAGATGATTTTGACTTTGACATTATAAGTGAATCGACAAAGAAATCGCGTGATTTTTGTTGCCTACAAGACATAACTACAGGGGAAACAAACAAAGACATTAATACCGACAGAATGTCTCCTGATATTTCAGTTGATTTTAATATTAACCAAAGTGAAGAAGCTTCAGAAAAATTTAAGAAGCTGTTTGATAATTTACAAGTAGATTCCGTTATCACGTCGTTATCATTAGACAACCCTTACATGCGGGTTAATGATCGATTCTTGGTTGATTTTCGACGTTTGAAAATAGCACAGAGCGATAAAAGACGGCAACATGAAAAAAAATCATCTAGTTCAAATTCGTGGGATAATGAAGATGGATGTAAAGAAGAAATGGACATTCAAGTTGAATATAATAGTTGGGATCCATATTTGGAACGTGTTGTATATATCCTAAAAGATTGTAAATTTGAAAGATTGTTTATTGTTTTGAAATGGTATTTACATTCTTTATAATATATTTGTTATTTCTATTTCTAAGCTATTTTTTTTTTTAAATGCTTTATTCTTTTCTTTTAGGATTAACGGACAAGAAACGGTCCACTGGGCTGATGATGCTTACAGTCGATGTCCTCAAAAGGTAATTTATGTGATCTAATTATTAAATATGTCAGTTATACTAATAGAATTTATTATCAAAAGGTTATCGAATTTTATGAATCCAGTACAATTTTTATTAATGAATGATGAATACACTAGAATAATAATGGTTATCATTACTCATGTTCATTTAAAGAATCTGTTTGAGTTTTTTTTTACTCAAAAATGCAATTCTGTAAATGCTTAATAATTATTATAAATTTTTGTTATGTTATCATCGTCGGTCGAATTATGCTACGTATCAGAAGAATTGATGCATCATTATTCCGAAGAGGAACGAAAAGTAGTTTTTTTTTTTCAATCTTTCAAAATATAATCCTGAGCTTTGTTAGCGTATTAATTGGAGAGCATATGAAGAACCGCATATAACTAGTTATTGCATACTTACAGTATTTACTTATTTAATTCTACACTATTTGTACAGTTTAAGAATTTTTCACCAAAAAAAAACAATTTTTTATTAAATGTAAATTTGTTAGAGTTATAGGCTTTCTCATTGTTGAAGATTATGAACCTACTTCAGACAGATTTTCCCAACCAATATATATCACTTACTTGAATTTGCTGTATATTCTTTAGTATAATATCGTAGTTTCTCTTGCTAGTTGATGATTCCGAAGATTTAAGCATTTCAGACAAATTATCATTGTTAAAAAGCTCGTAGTCTTTACCTGGATCAGTGTATCAAAGCTTATTCCGTTGGAATACAGAAATTTGTTTTTATCCAGTAATATAGATAATAGATGATTGGATTTAGTCTTGTTTCAAACTCCACGAGTATACGTTTTAAAAATATTGCAAAATATTAGTGAAGACATTTGAGGTAAAAAGTATTCGTGAATCGTCTAAGGAAGAATCAAATTACTCAGTATTCAAGATTTTGTGGTCATAAAAATTTTTCAAAAAAAGAATTTGTTGTATTATTAAATTTTATAGCTTTAATATCAACATCCAACATATTTTAGCATTTAAGGAGCTATCAAGAAATATACAGATAAATTAGATTAATAGATGGATAATAAAAAATTATGGTTACAATTCTAACGCTATATGCTACGTAATATATAGTATATATATACCATCTATACATATATTTTATATGGCAATAGTAAAGTGCTTTACGGATTTGCTACGTAGAAGAATGTAGTGCAAACCTTAATTAGTTTATAAACCCCTATAAGTTACACATATGTACATCCAATTTTTTTTTATAATGAACTCTACAATAATTTGTGACAATAAGAAAACTATACCAACTATGATAAAGTAGTACATTACTTGTAACATTGCTACGTAACTACAGTACACTAGTAATTTTTTACTCTTCTATTATTAATATTTACAAATACAGAAAACAGTTCTGATAAAAAAATAGTTCAGATAACCACTATGTGTATGTGGCATTGGAGTCGATATACTACTGTATTTAATTACGAAGCGAAATTTTGAAACGATTGATATTTAAGTCTCAAAAACTGAACTATAGAGCAAAACTTATATTTTGTCCAAAAAAGAACTCACCGATTAATTAAAAATTCATCTGGCAAAGCCAAGAAGACATCCAATTAAACAAGTTACATTGAACCATCGGCAGAGAAGAACAAATGTGCACAAACTATTTATATATTAAAACAAGCGCAAGATTTTCGTCACAAATAACTATATAGTTTTGATTTTTGTCACCATTCAAATCAACGCGACATTTACCTTGAAATGAAGTATAGACAAGTGCAGATGTTTCTGTATTTTTGTTCGATTGTGTTACCCCTCTCATGTATATATTGCTTTTTTCGTGACATTTACCTTTTCAGTTTCAACGTGACTTTTATTTATCTTTGCTTATTCTGAGTACAGTTTTTTTCGATTTTTAACAGCTGCCCTACCTTGTTCAGAGCGTCGGGAGTGCGTCGAGTGTAAACCGTGTTTGCATAAGGAGAGCATCTTCCTGCGTTGCGAATACAGTACAAAGTAAAATTTCCAATTATATTATATAATTGGAAATTTTACTTTGTACTGTATTCGCAACGCAAACACGGTTTACACTCGACGCACTCCCGACGCTCTGAACAAGGTAGGGCAGCTGTTAAAAATCGTGTGCTCTTATCCGACGATCGCTTTTTATCTTTATATTTGTTTATTCTGTACGATTTTATTCCCAATTTATTTATTCTGTATTTTATTTCAGAATCTGAATTATCCGATTTTATTCCCAATTTAGGTACTTCATTCAGAATCTCTTTTCATGACTTTTATAATTATTTCTGTATTTATTCTGTACATCATTATCCGATTTTTGGACGATCGCTTTTCAGTTTCAACGTCCAATGTGACTTTTATTTATCTTTTATTTGTTTATTCTGTACTTCGATTTTATTCACAATTTTGAACGGGTATGAATATACGTAATTCCCCTCACGTATATATATTAGGCTCTGGTTTACTCAATTCAATCAAAGCTTTATTATTTGACGCTCTTTTGTATTGAATAATATCACTTGCTGAATCAACATACAATTTAAATCATCCCAATACTCTACCAAAATAAAATGCCTTCTGCTTTAAACTTTGTTTTTGTTGATCCTTCGCGCCAGGTTTCTCGTCAAAGACTCCTCGAAGAGATTCAGACTCTTACCGATGAAATTTCTTCCTTAAGCTCCAAAATATCTTCTTTAGAAGCAGAAATTTCTTCGCTTCGTCAATTAGTTTCTCAGTCGACTCTTCTCGCGTTCCCCCCTGAACTTTAATGTTCATAATTTGGGTTTACTGATACTATATATTTGTTATTTTTCCAATCTTGTGTGTCATCTTAAGTTTGATTCTTAGCGACCTTTTTTTTTTTATTTTTATACTTTTTTTATATTTTACATTTTATATCTTCGTAGATATTTAACTATTTAACTCCCTATTAGAGCATGCATGCATTACACCATTGCTTATTTTTGAAGGGGAGTCGAAATTGTCTGTATACTGTATTTTTATGATTTGTAATATAAATATGTTAGATATAAATAATTCTTATGCCAACTTAAGTCAGAACTAATATACCACTATGCTCTAATAAAAAACTTGCAAAATTTCGATTCTCTTCTAACCTCGCTGGCTCTGACTTCAATCTTACTTTGGATCATTGCAAGTTTTTTTTTAATTGGCTATCATGTCAGGTGATTAGGTGATTAGTCAAGTGTAAATGATACACAAAAGCCGTCAATTTGTGAAATATGGGGTGTTCCAAGTTAAAAGGTCCCATTTTTACAATTTTTTGAAAAATGAGTTTTCGTTAGATTCATATAAAT